GGAAGTCTACAGTAGACAGCTATGGAAAAGAACTGTCGCCCACTTGATGACTTTGCCCTGGGCCTTTCGTGGCAGCAGGAACAGTCTCTCCACTCAAGGCAAATTCATAAGGCTATGCAGAGTGTTCATGCTTCCACAGTAACATCATGTTTTCATATTGTAAGTGTGGGGGTATTTATTTCACATGTTTTTACAGGTGTGGGCAAATCTAATATTCTATCCAATTATAATTATGCTGTAGCTCAGGGACATTAGTTATGATCTGTGAATGTGTCCCCAAGTCATGTATGAATCTCATACATTTACCTCACTGTGCTCAAAGTTGTCTTTGGGAAAAGATTCCATGTCTGAACAGTGTGTGTCAGACATTCTCCAATCCAAGTTCTTGTTCAGTAGCGTTAAACCTGCCTAACTCACTGATTCAACCAGAGACCAGGACACAGAATAAAACTTGTTTGTTTTGTTTTTTCATATTAAGGAAAAAGAATCAAATGATTGATTTTCCAAGGTTAAGGCAGGAGCATGCTGGTAGGCAAACTGTATAGCTGAGAGTAGAACTTTTTGTGTTTTCACTGGGCCCCTGTCACCAAACTCCCAGCCACACCTTTTCCAAATTGATCTGATCCCTTGTGGCCTCTTCCTTGACAACACCAATCCAAGCGAGAGCTTCAAATCCAGCCATCCTCAGAGTGTTCAGGGCTGGCTGCTTTTCAAGCAAGGGCAGGGAGAGAGGCCTACACTTTCTAACAAAAGGAATGCTGCCTGAAGGAGTGCGTTACCAGGTGTGGCAAAAAGTTAGTGAACCAGAAAGAAGGGATTTATCAGCCATTTAAAAGGGGTGGGGGAACCAAGCAACAATCCAGAATGACACCTGAGTCTGCTCCCATCAGCCTGAGCTATGCTTTAGAGTGAAAACTCTTTAAAAGAAAACGCAGTAGTCAGATTTCAGGTGGGGGGAGAAAAAGCACAAAAGGCTCAAATATTTGGATTTTCCTGAGGTGGCTGGTGGTCTCCAGAAGACCTCTCCAACACGAGTCAGGTGGGCGTCGGCGATTTTTTTTTTTTTTTTGGAGTACATTCCTTTGAATCTACTGAGGTTTTTGTTGCTGTTGTTGTTTTTATTTCTAAGTTGACTTAGAAAAACCTCTTGATTCTTGGAAAGTCACTCAATTTATTTCTATAATTATTTTAAGCTAAGAGTTTTGGTATATAAGTTTGAAGGATTACACATACTAATGCATTTTCTATTTAAGTAAAATTTAGAGATGCAAATAGTCTCAGGAGACTGTCTTCGAAGCTTTTGTGTGAGCCTAGGCACTAACTTCGTGCTCAATACAAATCAATAGAACTGGTGTACTTTGGGGGTACTCACCCCCTAGGGAGTCACTAATTCAATTATCTGTAGCCCTTAAAAAAGTCACAATGAGGCTAATGAAATTTTTTTCTAAGGGAAATCTGGATAAGGCACTAGATTTATTAACCCATTTTCCACACAAGTTCTAAAAAATTCAGTTTTAAAAAACTGTTTAATACCTAAGGTGACTTTATAGCAGAGTTAAATTATTTGTACTAATAAAGAAGTATATTGTATGCTTGCAACTTCAAAACCATTCTAGGATGATGTTAAAACTTACTGAGTTGGGGGGATGCTATTTTCTTCCTTCCTTCCTTTCTTCCTTTCTTTCTGTTTTTCTTTCTTCCTTTCTCTTTAAATATCAGATACAGATGAAAAACCTAACAGTCTTTGGATTGGAAATAACTTGTGGGGTTTTTCATTAAAGTTGGGTGCAGCTTGCTGCATTTTGGTTAGTTGGATGTCTTCAGCAATTTTTCAAATGTTTTGGGTTTGGCAAAGTCCAAAATGCTTTTTGCCAAGACCCTCTTTTCCCCTTATTTTTTAAACCCGTGTGAAATGCAGGGATAACTTAATCCATATGTGTCTGATTCATTTACACTTAACTCATCAAAATGTTATTTTGTGAGGCCCATTTAATATCCAAGAAACCTTCTGAGCCTTTTAAAGACAAGTCTTTTGTCTTTGAACCAGGAAGTTGCATTTTTCCATATGAATGGAGGTCTGGCCTTGAATGATTGGAGATGAGTTCATTTTTCAACTTAGATGCTGTAGAATTTGAGTAGGATCAAAGCTTAATATTATGTTTATTATCTGCATAAAGGAAAGGTCATCTTAACATGCAATCAGAGGAAATAGAAAGAATTTATGTCAAATCATTTAGAGGAATACCATATATGGAAGTTCATACTGGGAATTAACAAAATAAGAAATAATTCCTCATTTGATTGTTTTCATCTCTGAATTAAATGGCTCCATTTTGTGTTCGTGAGAATATTTTCTGAAAGGTGGATCATCAGCATGAGGGAAAGAAAGAGTTGTCATTTTAATTTTTAAAATCACATTTTTTTCTTAAAGTGAACACATTATCAATTTTAATAACTTCTATGGAATTAATAAACTATTCTGAGATCAGGGCAGTTGACAATTGGCAAGAGTTTTATGTTCTGAGATTTCTGGGGAAAAAAAAAACAGCAAAAACAGGGGCCCATATGTTTTCCCAATCCTGTATGATTTGAAAGAATGCATTGGAATTATGAAACAGTACTGGGGACCAAAAACATTGAGAATGAAACTTCACAGAGGCTTCAGAAAGACCATGTGAGAAAGTAAAGTCTCTATGACCCTCAGTGAAAGCTCCCCTCCCCCATGAAAACCTGCGGGGGCTTCTTTCTTTCAAGCTTTCCTAGGAGCAGTGAGCAAAGAAAGGCCATTGCCATAACTGCTAGTGAACACGCAGTCCACACCATGGAAACTAGCTGAAAATGTGATGCTGGAGTGACATTGCCAAGTTCAGCGCTTCTATAAAGACCAGCTAGCACACAGAATGCTTTTTCTAAATGTTCTGTATTGTTGGGTCACCCCCATTGAACAACCTTTTGAGAGGACCCCCATTTTTACTAATGTAAACATTCTGATGAGTAGCCAAAGAAATGACCTTTGAGTGAACCTCTAACCTTCCCAGTAATTATTTGTTTGAAGACAGTGTGAAGTTCTCCTGCTGAGAACTAAGAACCATGGTGCCTTGCAGCCCTGTGAGTGAGTGAGTGAGTGAGTGAGTGAGTGAGTGAGTGAGTGAGTGAGTGAGTGAATGTTTGAGGGAACAGGAGAGAGTAAATAAGGGAACAACCTTCAGATGTAAATAATAAAGGGATAAAAAGGAGGGGGTAGCAATTTATTTCACCTAAAAGGTTAACCTACAAGAGAAGACATAAACAAAACAACAACCCACCACACAACAGGATTGGCAGCATATGGCAAGGACTGCCCCTTTCTACCAGAAACATCAAGACAGACCAAAGGAGCCTGCTCTGGGCATCTCTTGGTCTTTACTGAAACTGTGAGAAGAGCCCCTAGAGGGAGAAATAAGATGCTGCCCTTCTAGGCCTCAGATAAATTCTTTTAACTGATGGGAGGGCTGCTTCCGGAAGTCTTTGTGATCTGGTCAGCAACATTTCATAGGACAGCTCTCAGGACTCACATTAGCCTGGAACTTCCTTCCCCCAAAGCCAAAGGGCAGAACGTTTTTTGACAACTGGGACCTCCTTTCTTAAGTACTAAAGAAGTTCACTGTTTTGCAAACAGCATATGCAAAGGCCTCCTTTAGCTTTCTCCTGGCTATTATTCATCGGCCTAACTGTATTCTTCCTAGAGGACTCACAGGAGGTGATGTGTACTCACTGTCTACTCCGAGGGACTTAACTGCCAATATTTGAGAATTCTTCAGAGAATGAACTTTCAGGTCCTGCCTGGAGCCCCATGTGGACGCATCAATCATTAAGTCCCCCATATGCTTAAGATTTGAAAGTAGAGATGTTGAAAAACAAATGTTATCAATAGAAAACATTTTGAAGGGCCAGCTAACTGTATGCTCCCTACCACCCGCCCCTCCCTAGCCTAATGCAAGGCCACTGAATCTTTCCCAGAAGTTCATATGTGTGGGGGAATACCATCATTAAAAGTACAGGGACAAGGGTAACTCGCAAATGGTAGAAAATTGTTTTGTTTTTATTAAATTTGGAGAAATAAAGGAGATTTCTTATTGTCTTACTCTGTTTGTACATGAATATTTGATGGGCATTATTAAACATTAAAGTAACATGAAGTAGGCACTTATTTTTGGATTTTCAACAAAATTAGATCCAGGCTTCTAAGACAAAATAACCGCTGCTCCTTGCATTCCTGGGAATCAGCAACCGCCTGATTTGAAAACGTTTCCCTGGCCCTAATATCAACCATGTGGACCTGAGGCTGCCTTTCCAGTGGGTTGAAAGGTGGCTGAGTTTATGGTTGGCAGTTAGCTTATCCACTGCCCTGGGTGTCCCTGCTTTGGCTGCAAAGGCTGCCCCCAGCTGGCACTGACCTCTGAGTGACCCCTAACTTTACAGGCTTAAGCTGCAGGAGTTGCCCCAAGACCAGAAGTCTTTGGGCCAGCACTTATTACTGCTGTGTTGGTGATAAAACTTCAGACAGCCTAATTGATGGCTTTGCTGACCTAACAATACCTTGTGAAAGCCGAGTGCCAGAGCCTGGGCTTCATTTATGGCCAGCTGCAAGGGAAGCTGAATCTCCCTGGGATGGGACTGGAAGTCCAGGGAGAGGGGCAAAATCTTCCAGCCTGTGAGCTGCAACCTGGTTCCTACTCATTCCAAAAGCAAGCACACTAGCAGAAAGGAAATGCTTTCTCCTAGAGAAGTCTTGTCCCTCTCTGAAAATTAGTAGAGAGTTAGCTCTGGCTCCCCGATGACAAGGGAGAGACCATCCAGTCAGCTGTTTTTGCATACTGACAGACAAAGTTGCCTGTTAATTAAGTAGGTGGGTTTGAACTAGATATTGGACTCCAATGTGCCCTCCACAGTGCCCACAAAAGCTGTTCATCAAGCACTCAGAATGAGCTTGGTAACCCGACTTCTTTTTTCTGTTTCAG